GTTTTACAGCCCAAAGTGAATTCCATTTAAGGTTATCTTTTCCTAAGCGTGAATATTTATTATTATTTTTTTTATTTTTTGTTGTATCTTCTAATTCTTCGTCACTGTCAAATTCATTATCTTCAATATCACTAATTTGAATGTCTGTGTTTTTATTATTTTGGCTTCTTTTTTTCGTTTGTTGATTAGTCTTTTTCTCTTTAGGAGTATAATTATTTAGGTATTTTGTAATATCTTCCATTCTTATTACAGTAAAATAAGATGATATATTGAAGAATAAACCAAAGCAAAATTGTAAGGTTGGTTAGATTATACGTTTGTACAGATTACAATTTTTATTATAACTTTGAAGACTAATTTTCTCACGCATAACTATTAATTTGTCGCTTTAGCCTTTTATAGATTGTCTTTGTAATAATGCGATGCAAGTTTTTTTTAAATTTGCATATGATTGTTAAGTGGCGAACTGATATAAGTGTTAGTTAATTAGTAGCAATAAGGGGTATTATCTTATGTATCAATTCAATATGAAATCAGTAGGGCGAAAGAAAAGGTGTTGGAATAAAAAATAATCGTATTGCACAACATATGCATATTAGTATTTATTTGAACTATACCGGCAAATGGTGATTTTTATTAAAGAAATGATTAATTACCAGAATAACAATGTTATTCTGTGAAAAGCAATCATAGCCGGTAATTTTCTATGCAAATAAAGAAATGTGATAGAATCATGTGTCGTCTTCATCTTAGAGTGGATTATGCAAATTTTTGTTCAAGCACTTGTGGATCTGGTTCGTTATAACTTACCATTTTTACATAGTTCTTTATTCCATGAATACAGTATACCATTGTTATTAACCATACTAATCTTTAATCTTTGTACATCATAACTCTTCTTTGCTTTAATCTTACTATAATGCCATTATGAGTGGCTTCTCTTCTTTTCGATCTCATGATGTACTATCACTTTGCATGCATTCAAGGATGTTGTATTTCTCTTTGATATTGTTTCTCGCAAGAAGGTGGCTCTATCGTTCCTTATACTCAGACCATTTTGTAGTATCTTGACAATATGCTTAATACTTGGTTAGACAAAGTGTATTGGTAAGAAACTAGACTTCGTGATTGCAAAGATCCTGTTTTTGTAACAATTAGTGCTGAGGCTGCAATAGCAGTGTAAGAATCTTTTTAGTTAGGTTCTGTGAATGCAATAAGAGTGGAAGAGCCTTGGTTTTAAACACCATGTCTACAGTAATAAAGCAAGGCCTTCGTTAAACAGATTACAGGCTCTATGGCTAAAACATAAAATAGCTGCTATAACTGTTGTTAGGAGAGCTTAATAGAATTATGTGAATAGAAGGCCAATTTAACTCCAACAGTGTACAGAGAGATAGATATAAACTTAGATAAACAAAGGGAGTTGTTTCTAACTATCAGAGGTTTATTGAGATAATATGACACTATGAAACAAAGGTTTTAATATTTAGAGGGGTGGTAATAAGGCGAAGCAACTACAGTTGATGCTGGTTGGGATATCTCAATAAAGACGGTGAGGTAAAAGCGGACGATGATTAAGTGATAACGGTGATAACTTTAAGTCTATGTAAATGATTAACAAGGTAGGGTCGAATCACCAATTGTAAGTCTCACAATTCTCGCAAGTCACCAAGGTGAATGGTAATATCTGATTTCGCAATTGCTCTAGAATCCGAGTCTTAATAAGCCTAGTCGAAATTACAAGTTAATTCAGTCCGTCAAATTGAGTCTCAAAAGGGTTTATTAAAGTTCTAAGTCGGATTCAAAAGACAATACACAAGGGAATTTTCAGATAAGTATATATTTTATTAAACGAAAAGAAACAATTATTTAAAGATGGAATGGTTTTCTTTATTAATCATAAAAGTAGAACTGTAAAATTTTTCATTAGTCATGAGATAGAACTGGGAAATTCTTTATTAATAATAAGGTGGCACAGGAAAATTCTTATCTCTACTGCCTGGAACTTTAGGTTCTTAAATACATTTTGAATTTTGGCTATGTTTACTTCCCAACTGCTACATTTACACTACTTCTGCTACGTCTACACAACCACAGCTACATTTACACTGCTACAGCTATGTTTGCTTAGCCATGGGGATGTTCACTCTTCCATTTCTTAATCATTTCCTTGTAAATATACAAGTGGCCTTCGTAACAGATTCAAACGGCTACGTTTATGTACCCACTGTTGCGTTTTATGTGCCTTGAGTAACATTCATATGATTAAGCCACCAAGCCAATCCATCATTGCCATTTTAGTACAAGTTATGAAATAATCAAAAGAAATTAATAGATATACTAAAATTGGACATTGTTATCAAAATGGATGGGGGAATTATTAATAAACTATGTATATGCGGTATTTTACTAAGAAAATAAAGGGATTATTTACAATAATATAAAAAATAAAATTTTAATTCGTTACACTGCACAGCATTGTCATTGCACGTATAGGTTGCTTGCCACATTATTGGATGTGTGATGTATAGCGCATTATTCAATAAAATCAACATATGCCCAGTTTAGAGTTGGTCACCGAAACCTTTTTTGTATATTGTTACGACCAGTGGGAGAGACTTTGTATCTGCAGGGCCAATTTAGCAAAGGGTCATAAGCATTAATAGTAACGAACAGAATATTTTATTGACACACAAAGGCACCCTAACATAATAATCAAATGTTTCTTTAATGTATACAAGACACTGTTAATACTAATATCTCTATTTCCACTAACAACCTAGCAAGTTCCAAACTTACTAAGAGTCCAACCACAACTTACAAAACTCAAACACTCTAAGAAAAATCTAAGAAAAATCTATCTAAAAACTTTCTAGAACTAAAAATACATTTCGTTCTATATAAATCTATGAATAAACTCTAAATAAGCTATAGACTATCAAAAGACTAATTTAAGATACACTGTATACTTCGCACAAGCTATCAAAATATTACACAAAGTATATTTAAAAGTATATCTAATAGTATAATGGTTATACAAAGAAAGTTTAAGTGTAAAACTTTCTTTGTGTAACAATATCTGAAAGTTTCAGATTTCGGATTATAGTTTCCGAAACTTCATCCGAAACTCGAAACCTCACCCGAAACTCGAAACTCGAAACCTCACCCACAACCTGAAACTCTGTCTGAAACCCAAAACCTGAAATTCTATCTGAAACTTCTTCCGAAGCTTGAACTCCAAAACTTTATAATTGAAAAAATTTAAAATACCCATCGATTCAAAAATTGTCAAAAGTTTAGGTGTCAGCAAATCTTCTTTAAGTCAGTTTTCAAAGATATGGATGTATTGAAAAGCTTTTGCAACACTTTATCGATTTTTTGAAATCTTGAATTACATTTAAACTAGCTAATTCTTGATTATATATCTTGCTTTTTTATATTAGCAACTATTCGTGTGGTATATTTATTATAAAAGTCAATTTTATACCTGGAGCCTTTTTTTATTTCTTGTCAAGATTTATTTGTTAACAAAAACTGCCTTTCTCAAGAACTTTCGCACAAACTAAACACACCAAACATGCTAAACAAGTATTCGAACAAAGGAATATTATAGCCAATAAATCTCAAATTATTTCAAAATTGAATTTTAAAAATATTCTATATTTCTGAACACAAGTGTGTAATATAAAAACATTTATTCTAAATCAATAACTTAAACAGGATTTGCTGAAAAATTATTCAGCTAACTTTTTATCAAATGTCCAAGAATTTATGAATATATATATTGTGTACTATATTTTTTTTGTACACAAAATTGTGCACATTTGTGCACTATATAATTTTTTTTTCGTGTGCACATGTGCACATCCAATTTAAAAAATGTGCACACTAAAAAAAAATTGTATACATGTGCACATTGTGCACATGAACTTTATACACTGGCATGAATAATAAATGTATCTACTGTGATGCACTACACTGGTTCGATGAACGTATAGCTTCTTTCTCTATAATTAATCCAAAGTTTAGCACATGTTGTTCACATGATAAAGTTATTTTACCATATCTTCAACCTCTCTGTATTCTCTATATTACCTGTTTAAAGGTCAAGATGAATATTCAAAAGAATTTCGATGCAATATACAACAATATAATGCAGCGCATGCATTTACTTCACTTGGTACAAATATTGATGAATCAGTTCTTAATGGTCGTGGACCATACTGTTTTCGCATCAATGATGCATTATTTCATTGCACAGGAGCTCTCCTTCCTGAAACAAATGTCAAAGCAAAATATGCGCAACTATATATTCATGATTCTAGCACTACTCATAATTTAAAAAGAAATGAAATGAAAATTTATCAACACAGACAATGTCAGAGTTACAAGAACTTTTGTGCAACTATTATACATTTTATCCTCTATATCAACAAGCATATAAAATACTATCACAGGTTCACCACAATAATACAAAGAATTCAGACTTAAAAGTTTACCTTCATTTTAACAAGTTAACTGACTGACATTGCTATAATCTCCCTACAACCAATGAAATTGCAGTAATTTTACCTGGAGATGAACATCACCTAAGTCAACATGTGATATTGTTTTTCGTCTTCAGGGAGGTCCTTTTCAACGAATTCATGAGGGGCATCCCGCATATTTACCTCTCCATTATGTATTATTTTTTTCTCATAGAAAACTTGGATGGTATCCTGAACTATATTATACACAAATAAATAAACAAAACAGGTCTTCTTCTTCTTTTAATAATAATAATAAAAGATCTCGCCTTACCCAAGTAGATTTTTATTCTTTCTGCTTATTTCCACGCCGTAATGAATTTTCTACAATTCTTCATTGTGGTAAACTATTTCAGGACTTTGTAGTAGATGCATGGGCTACAACTGAACAGAATAGACTAAGATCTCTATACATGAACCAAGAAGTATTATGTACAGATACCTATCAAGATATCATTAATGTAGTAGAAGATAATACAAATAATAAAATATCTATTAATAATCTTGGCCGCAGAATTATATTATCATAAACACATCTCGGAAGTGCTTGCCAAATGTTTGAACTGTTTTAAGATTCTATGGCAATTACCAGGTTCTACGGTCACTCTAATATATTTGGAACAATGATCGCAAACCCGAATTGGCCAGAAATAACAAATGAACTGTTTTTAGATTAAACTCCTGCAGCTGACCAGACTTTATTGCACATGTATTT